AGGGGAATTCTAATTCAATTGGGTGCTAGGGAGAAGAAAAGGAAATTGCAGCAATATAACTCAGTACTAGATAGAATTAAATTACTTGAAACTGCACCCAAACAAACAATCTTTAGACCCCTCTACCTATCAAGACCTTCAACAAGCACGCCAAGAACTTAAACTCTTATTGATTTCCGACTATGACGTTAAAATGGCCAAACTCAGGGCAATCCATTATTTCCATGGGAATAAGGCGGGTAAATTACTAGCGTCCAAACTTAGACAACTACGGCCAAGATTCCTTTTCTATACCATCCCTCCACTAACACACCTCTCAAAAATCCTCAGGATATTACTAATGCAATTGGAGACTTTTACCAATCTCTTTATAATTTAAAAGAGGACCCCTCTACCCCACATCCCTCTTTACCCTCCATTAACTTCCCCAAAATGTCCCTGGACGACCTAGGAACACTAACTGCCCCTTTTACTCCATTAGAAATTAAAAAGCTTTTCATGACCTCCCATTAAAAAGGTGCTGAAGGTTTTTCTTCCGAATATTACAAACATTTCCAAGACCTATTACTTCCTCATCTTGTTGATATATACAATAAAGCTGCAATTTCTGGATCTTTCACTCATAATATGCTGCAAGTTGTTATTACCCTGCCTAAACCAGGGAAGGTGCCGTATCACCCTAAAAATGTTCACCCCATCTCTCTTATCAATACGGATTAAAAAATATATGCTAAAATGATAGCTAGTAGATTGTTACCTATTACCCCCAAACTAATACACCCAGACCAAGTCGGGTTTGTCAAGGGGCATCAGACTATGGTAAATCTTATTGCAACAGCGGTGAAAACTCAAACGCCATCTCTGCTCCGGACTTTGGACGCAAAGAAGGCCTTTGACCTGGTACATTGGGAATATATGTTTCAGACCCTCGAAAAAAATCGAGGCCATTACGGCATTATACTCTAACCCCTCAGCTCAGGTCTTCTCCTCTGGCATGCTGTTCCGATCCTTTGCAATCTCAAACGGGACGGGACGAGACAAGGATGCCCCTCGTCACCCATTTTGTTTTCCTTACTCCTTGAGCCGTTAGCCATAGCAATTAGAAACAACCCTAATATCCGAGGGATCCCGGTCGGTAAATCCAATTTTAACGATTGGCCACACCAGTTGCATCCCTGACAGAAATACACTCCACATTGCAGAAGTTCAATTCGGTATCCTATTATAAAGTCAATGCGGAAAAATCTCAGATATTGGGAATAGGGAATATCTCCTACTCTGAGAACCAGATTACAAGCTATGTTTCCTTATATTTGGACTAATGACCATATCCCATACCTGGGAGTACATCTAACTGCAAATAGTTACACTATTTTTAAATATAACTATCAACCCCTCCTCCAAACAATACGGAATGATCTGACTAAGATTGGAAAATTTGAAATCTCATGGCACGGTAGAGTAGCTGCATTTAAAATGTCCGCATTACTGAAACTTTTGTACATTTTCCAGACTCTGCCTATTCTAATTCCCAACTCATATTTTAATTCCCTTCAATCCATAGTCGGGAATTTTGTGTGGAATGGGAAGAAGAGTAGAGTTTATCGAACATTATTGTTTAACCCCTTCATGACTGAGCTAGTTTTTAGTTTCTGTTCCTAAATGACTGACACACTTTTTACATTTTTGCTGTGTGATCCTTCCACAGCAGCAAGTTTTGATTATTATTATTTTTAGAATTTTTTTAATAATAATTATAGTATACAAATATATTTACATATAAAAGTTTTATTTTCCTAATTTTTTGTACACTTCTTTTTTTTTTTTTTACACTGTAAAAAAAAATAAGT